AAATCTTCCACTTTGTCTCGAATTTGAACCAACCGCGGTCAAGGTCAACACCATACTTATGATTGAGACTCATATAGTTTTACAGTTTTTTCAAGGCACGTAAAAACATTTTTGATCTCACACATCCCTAAACATGATTGATAGTGTATCTCTTATATTTCGAGAAGACTAACTGCGTTAATCTTAAGACCGCCTGGTTTAAATTTGACGTACGTAGGTGTGTCTTTATTGATTGACTTCCCCGAGTCTCTTGTCTCGAAAATGTCCATCGGTGGTGGTTACAATTATTCATATATCTTCAAGTATATTATTGTTGGAGATATGGGTGTGGGAAAAAGTTGCCTTATGCACCAGTTTACTGAGAAAAAGTGTGAGTACATTTTCTGCTCATTGTTTTTTTAGTTTTTCCCGATTGCCCACACACGATTGGAGTTGAATTTGGGACAAGAATAATCGAGTTGAATGATCAAAAAGTTAAACTTCAAATATGGGATACAGCAGGCCAAGAACGTTTCCGTGCGGTTACGCGTTCTTACTATCGCGGTGCCGCTGGAACTTTACTAGTGTATGATGTGACGAGGCGCTCTACCTTTAACCACATTCAAACTTGGTTAAGTGATGCTCGTCGACTCACTTCTGCGAATACAGTTATTATGCTGATTGGAAATAAGTCTGACCTAGAAGACCAACGAGACGTGTCTTATGAGGATGCCAAGGCCTTGGCTGACGAAAATAGCCTCATGTTCCTCGAGTGCAGTGCTAAGTCGTAAGTAATATTGTCGTGCGATTTTGCGTTGCCATCTTTATTCAATATTTTGAACTGCCTTCGCAATGCACATAAGTCTTTTGCCTTTGATGTTGGGTGCAGGTCGTAGAAATCTCAAGTACCACAGTTTGTTTTGCTTGAGTACGCGACTGAATGCTTTCATATGCACTCGCTGCCGTGTGAATCCATACTAAACCCGAATTCGAGTGCTTAAAACCATTTTCTGCGAAGGAGGCTTCTGCGTAGAATTCCTCCTTCAGCAGTCCCGATGTGCCTTTGTGACGGAAATGCACGGGAAGAGCTATCAGAACGGCCTTACTCAATCTTTTCTCACTGTGGCTCGGTTTACATACCCTTCGCCTTGAGTAGTACGCAACTAAAAGGATAATATGCTTTCTTGTCTTCGAACCAGTTTGTCAAGTCTCCCTTCTGTTTTCGAATGAAAACGTGTGTTCACTTTCAAGAAAGAACTACGTGAGTGAAGATTCAATCTAACGTTGCGTCCAGTGTGGCACTCGACTGCTTTGTTTTATCTGAAATATAGCGAAAGTAGAATAGGGGATTCGAGCGGACCTTGCAGATGCTTC